ATCTTCCTTCCTGCGCAGTACTTTCTCCACGAGATACACGTCCGGATGAGTAGCGCGATGCAACTTTTGCTCGTAGAACGCACCAGCGACGGATTTTCCGCGATAATCTTCGAGTAAATAGGTTACGGGATTGGTACGCTGCACCTTAACGATCGTAAATACCTCAGTGGTCCAATTTGGCGTGTAACCCTTCTTAAAAATCGTCTTGTACTTGCTCACGCGTACCGAATCGCCCACTTTGAATTTTGCTGGACCAACGATTTTTATCACGCTGTACATCGTGTCCAAAAGTCTTTCGGCGATCGCGGGAGTTACGTTGGCGGGTCGCATGCCGATGCTTGCGCGCGTTGTAATCTGATACGAGACGCAGCTCGTCGATCCACTTGTAATTGCCGTTGAGTATAAACATCTTCCACATGTCGCTTTTGAGCGTACGAACCGCTCGACTACCAACGCTTTCAATGTCGAATATGTGGAATAGTGATTAATGTCGTGTTTTTTCAAGATTTTCTGCACATCGGCGTTGTAAAACTCCTTTCCCATATTCGTTTGTAAATTTTTAGGACATCTTCCACTTGCTCGAATTATCTCAACAATAGCATCAGCCGTCTCGCTTCCACTCTTGCTCTTAAACGGTACGGCCCACGCGTATTTGCTCAACACATCGATGACGGTGAGTATGTAGTGGTGGCCTCTGTTGAAGCTCGAGTACAGACGCATCTCGACAATATCAGCCTGCCATAAATCGTCGTATCCTCGAACTATGATGCGTCTTTGTGGACAATTTCTTCTCACCGGAGCGTGCAATTCCTCGACGAGTCGACATCTCTCGGAGCTAATTTTTCTCTTTTTGCTGGATTTCTTTTTTATGATTCGACGTGTAATACAAAGGACAAAAGTATTTTTTTTTCTCGCTGACGCCACTCGACTGACTCGTTTCGTCGATAAGCGAATTAATTTATAATAAGACCGGCTTCGCGAAATTCCTCGATAATCGACAGCATCTTGTTGTCGTGAGCGTTGTTGCCCGCTCGGTGCGAAGCGTCGAGCAATCGTAGACGATCCACCAGCTTGTTGGGATCATCCCAGTGCACGTAATCGATCGCGTTGTCATTTAATGTCATTGCGTGAGCTAATCCCTTTCCAGATTTTTTCTTCTGTTTCTTGGATGTGATCGACATCAACGGCGCGATTACGTATTTGTACTTGTATCCCCTGTTGCTCAATAATCGGCCCTGCGAATGATGTTTGTGTTTGTGTGCATTCGTCGCCAGCAGCATGCTCTTGTAGTTGTTCATATCGTCTTCTGTATAAAAGAGATCGTCGGGAATTCTCTTGAAAATTAACTCATAAAGACCGGATGAACCGGCGTATCGTACGCCGTCGATAATTATGGTGTCCGCATCATCCACGTCGAAACGTTTATTGCCAAATCAATCCATCCTTGTATAGGTAAACGCCGTATACATAATCTATACCACTCTTCTGTTTATCTCACGCTCCTCTCAGGACAGCCTTGACGTATTTTTGACCCAGCGGACCCAAGCCGGCTTGCAACACCTCTCGACGTTTGCAACTGATTTTGAACCTTTGTTGCTAGCGAGTCGTCCGTCGTTTCGAAAACGTTATCCAACGATTCTATCGTCGGTACGATCATTGTACGCGGAGTGGAGATTATCGGCTGTACACGATCGTGCGATCGATCATCGGATTTATGCGGAATCGCGGAACGCTCGAACGTCTCACTCTCTTTCTCTCTCTCTTCCTCCTCCTTCTCCTCTTCTTCTTCCTTCCTCTCGCGCTTGAAGGCAGACGCTGCGCCATCGTCGCGTGACTGTCTCTTTATCGCGTGCACGGGACTGTCAACGATTTATCGCACCGGTTTGATAAGGCTTAAAATGTCTGTCCAATGGCATGTCTTCCTCGATTCTACCGGTTTTCGGAGCGCAATGTTTCTTGCGGATCGACTTGCTCGTCTTCTCAATCTCTCTTGCGATTTTTTCACGCTCGCGCACATCAGCCATGTTCGTCTCTGGCGAAGTATCAATAACGACTAGTCACA